AGATCATCTAAAACAATGGCCTGTGTAGTCTTTTGGAGTAGGCAATTTTAAATAAGTTGCTATTTTAAAAGGAATTTGACCAAATGTATTCTTTCCAACCACCTGACTGGAACATTTTCCATTACGATAATACACAAAAAAACGTCCGTGGTTGGTATTTGTCGTACGTAGTGAAGCATATTTTCGATATAAGTCGAGATAACTTGGTGATTCCTGCTCTTTGTCAATCACACTGAAAATGCGGTCAATTTTAGTTTTAGATGCTCGTATGGTTACCAATAAGGTTGTTCCTAAATCTTGAATATCGTCTATTGAAATATTAGCTTGTTAGTAGGTAAGATTTGGTCAACAAGATCTTAAATGGATGGGTCAAGCTTCAGTAACACCCAAAATAAGCATGTTTAACTCTTCAAGGGAAAAATGCAGTTATTTTGAGTCTATGCCTTCGCTTGACCCATTTGAAAAGGGTTTGTTATCTGTCGCCACGATATCTAGAGGCGTACTGCGAGAAGAATGAATTTGGTAGAGTAATTTAACTTTATTATTTATTAATAATTATAATCATCTCAAATAGTTTCTCAATAAAAACAACAAATAAATTATTAAACAAAAAATCAGATCAATCTCAAATAATCGTCACATAAAATAATTAGTAAGATTTAATTTTAGGAATATGAACATCAGCAGGTGCCTCCCTACGTTTTCTCCACTTGTTTGAAATAAAATTTTATAAAATTATTTTATTTTTCCAATTGATCAAGAATATCGTCTATTGGTGTATTATATGCTGCTCTAATACTTCCAGGGAAAGCATTTATTCCTGCTTCTTTAAATGTAGTTCGAATCCAACCTGAATAACAGATCTTGATGCAGAAATAAAAAGAGAGTGGAGCTGTTTAAAACATTTTCGTCTGGCATTTGAAACCTCAATAAGCTTTTTCGTCCAGAAATTTATATCAAGGATTTGATCCTTGTTCTTTTTTATTTTCCACTTAGATTGTCTTGATGAAGTTTTGTCGGTTTTCGAACCAAAAGTAGGCAAAAGTATTGTACAATCCGTAAATTCCTGAAAACGCTCTCTGTTTCCCAGACAATACACATAGTCCAATGGACGTCCACTTTAGATCCATTTGAGGGCCAGAACGTCCATATCCGTATTCGGACATCCAGTGTACGTCCGTTTATGATCATTAATTTGACAGCTGCATATCGATGTCCAAAGGACGTCTGTTTTTGGACTTAATTTTAAGTTTAGTATTATTTTGACGTCCAGTAGACGTCCATCTTAGGTCATTATTTATTTAGCCTACCAGATAATACCCATCTATACCCAGACAACACACCAAATCCCAGAGATATCCACAGAATATCTTTTGTGGATATCCAATATATCCACAGGATATCAGAAATATTCCGTGGATCTAATATGGATATCCAAATGTCCGTCTATATCGAGGATATAGAAGATATCCTAATGGATATTCAGCAAAATATATAATGGGTATCTTCCAGAAAATACAAGAAATCACAGAGATATCCACAGAATATATTTTGTGGATATTCAATATATCCAATATGGATATCCAACCAAATGTCCGTCTATATCCCAGGATATAGAAGATATTCAGCAAAATATTTTATGGGTATCTTTAGTAGAGGTTCATAAGTAACCAATGATTATTGAATAACGTCGAAAGAAAATAGCAGAGATAAAAAATATTTTCAACACTCTGCCTTTGATTTTGCCCACTAAGGAGAGAGTCATCCTTATTAGGACTCTTCAGCAATAAATGAAAATTCTCGACTCCAGTCTCTAATGGAGTGATTAGGACACACAATTTCGATCGAACTCAATTACGGCGGGTCGAGCATGAGTAGATGCGATAGTGGTATCGCCATCTATACTTAGTAAGCAGAATCAAATAACATCTAGTGGATATCCACGATGGTTTGCGTTCGCGCCTAGACTTTGATATATTTAGTGGATGTTCACGAGATATTGAATACACCTTAAAAAAATGAATTTTAAATATCTGAACGGTACTATTAGCCACAATGGCGTAATTTTTTAATAATTTGCTATATAATTACTATTATTTATGGACATTTGCATGTCTATAAATTACATTTCATGGATATAAAATAGATATCTACCATGGACTGGACATTCAGTGGATATTGGGATGTTCAGTAGATATCCAAATGATTTGGTGTGTTGTCTGGGTATATATTTTGATATTTTTAATAGAATTGGTCATTAAAAATTGACAAATTAAACCTATTACATTTCATTCTATCAGCGGAAGTATACATTCTTATTCCATTATAACCGTATCTTGTAAGAATTTTTCAAGTGGCTCCTTGGTCGAGATCGCCTAGCGCTTGAATGCCCAGAAAGACGATGGACAAGTCGTGAGTTCAATACCTGCTCTGGTCAAGTGATTTTTAATAAAAAAAATAATTAATAAATGGTGTATAGCGGGTTGCGAAAATAATAAATAAATTATTAATATTATAAATTATAAAATAGTGTGTGGTGAGTTGCGGTTGTGTAAAAAAAGTAGGGATGTGGTCTCATAATGGAATGTAATCCAGGAATGGACGTTTTTTGAATGTCCAGTATTGAACGTCTAAATATAATCCAGAATTGGACGTCCTATGAACGGTCAAAAGTGTGCCATTTGTATACTTCACTGGATGTCCATTGGACGTCGGAAGTCCATTGGACGTCGGAAGTCCAAAAAAAACTCATCTCTGGACGTCCAGACATCCAAAATTATATATCGAATGGACGTCCAATGGACCTATTTGTGCTGTCTGGGTTATAGATAGAAGAGTAAGGTCATGAATCCTTCTACCTGATGCAAATAAAATAAGTATTGCTAAGTGTCTCGAAATTTGAAAAAGATTATTAATTTTAGGAGGGTTTAACTTAATCTAGCTAAGAAGTTCATCCACATCCCAAATTGTATCTCTATTTTTAATTGGAGATTTTAAAGTAATACCTTTTAACATCTGTTTTATAACAGGATGAGATGATAATATAGATCCCCTCACAGGATTAGCAAACGTAGATATTACAGATTTATTTACTGAAATTCTACTACATGATAACTTTTGTATTCTATATAAATAGCTCAAATATACATCTACTTCTTAAGGAGAAGGGTTATTTATGGATATATTTTTAGAGTTTGCCCATTAAAGCAATTTCTTCCAGGGAGCGCTGTAGGTTTTTAGGGTTGATTTCCTCCAAGTTGATTGCAATAAATCAATATCCATTTTAGTCCAACCAAAGAAAGCATGAGGCTATCGCTCGGGCTAGTAAGTCTGGTTTCCAAATGACTCTTTCCCAGTTCGGGGCAATTATTATATTGTTTAGATGTTGTAGGACTCTCGGAATTAATATTGGTGGTGGAAACACCCAAGCCAACTGATAGTCCCAGTTTCTGCAGCAGCCATTCAGAATTAACCCTTTTGGGTAGTCTATCGACTGAGTCACATATTGAGAAACTACTACTGATACATTCGTTGCAACTAGATCCACCTGGGTTGACCCACCATGGGTTGACCCCACTTTTGGAAAATCATATGTGTTAGTTGAGTCGATAGGTGCCAATCAAAAAGTTCTTTCTTTCTAGAGAGGCAATCGGAGATTGAGTTGCAAATTCCCGGTATATAATGGGCAGTTATCTGAACTTTGAACCGATTTATCATTTTTAGTAAGGTTTCTGTTTGAAGGAGAAGGTTTAATGACCTCGATCCACCTTCGTTTCGAATATAGGCTACGACTTTTCGATTGTCGGTTTGCACTAGAATAGACTTGCCCTTTAAAATGTAAATATTTTTCTTGATACTAACATAAACTGCATATAGTTCTTTCCTGTTCATGTACCAGTTTATTTGTTTCGTTGTCCATTGACCTGACATTATTAAGTCGCCTAATTGAGCTCCCCATCCCAGAGCGGATGCATCCGTTGCCAGGGGAAATTATATATTTTTTGAAAAGATAGAAGAGCTGCGGTGAACTAATTTCATCCACCATTGAATATCTTTTATTATTAATTCTTTTAGGGGGAATAATTTGGAGGGGAATATTGAAGGTAGCCGAGCGCTGAGACTCTGGATTCGATGACAATGTAAACGGCCTTGTGGTATTGCAAACCCCGAGAAATTTAGACTTCCTAAAATTGATTTTGCTTCTCTCCAAGACCAGGTTCCTTTCTTCAAAAGTCTTCCTAGTTTTTTCTGCAGTGCTATCTGTCTTAATTGTGAAAGTAATTTTAGATTTTTGGATGGATTCCATACAATTCCTGAATATTCTAGTTATTTTACCGGGTGAAGTATGGATTTATTGAGGTTTATTTTCCACCCCAGAAACGTAAAAATGTTTACCGCTGTAATGACCTGTACTTTTAGTATATTGGAATTTTGGTTGGCTATCAAGCAGTCATTTAAATATATAATTATTCTTAATCCCAGACTTCTTAGATAGCTCGCTATCCAACTGGTTATTTTTGAAAATGTTTTTGGGGCTAAAGATAGGCCGAATGGTAAACAGGTCATACAATAAATGTCTTTTTTGTAGAAAAGAGCCAGACATTTTTGGAGGGCCTCTTTTATGGGGATATGAAAGTATGCAGGAGGAAGATCTAGTTTTACCAAGAAGTCGCCTTATTGGAGAAATTGCGAAATTTTGCAATGGCTTAATAGAATAAATTTTTTGTCTGAAACATACTGGTTGAGACGTTTTAAGTTGAAAATTGGGCGATTTGAACCCTCTGGCTTGGGAACTAGAAACATATTGGAGAAAAAAACCTAAAGTTGAGACTTTCTTAGCACTTAGTTTTTTACCATTGATTGTATTTGAATTATAGGCGGTATTTTTACCAAGGGAATTTTGTAACCTGTAAATATTTTTAGGAGGAGCATCCAGGAGTTCCCATTGCTGCCTTTTTTTTAATTGGCCCATTCGAAACATTTTTTGCTGGGGCGGGTAGTCATAAGCGATGATTTCTGTCTTTGGGAAAGGAAGACCTTTTAAGAGAACAAAATGTTTCTTTTCCTTGTTGAAGATGTTTTCTTGGTCTGGCTGATTTCTCAGAATTCTGACGATAAAATGTATTCTGTTGAGACACTTCTGGAACTTTTTGCGGCTTAACTTCAGTTTGGAAATTTTCTGTATTTTGAATCCAGAAGAAGTGTTCCCTTCTGAGGACTTCAAGTTTTTCTTCCTCGTATAAATAAGTAATTGAAGGTGGAATCTTCTTCAGTAGTGGGGCTACACGAAGATTGGATATTGTATGATGTTTACGTCTTAAATTTATTACTTCAGTACGTTTTCCACATACATACTGTAATATATCATCTTTAATGTTTCGAAAATTAGACTGCTGTTCTCCAAAAATTGATGTTAAATTATCAGCGGTATCTGGATATTTTTTTAATAACTCCGAGATGAACTGGAAGTATTAGCTTTTCTTTAAAATAGCGTGGCATAAGGTACCCAAAGGATAATCAATTTTAGATTAAAAATCGCTATATTATAGTCAGAAAATGAATTAAGTCCGTGATTAACAATAACTTGAGAAAACACAGGTGAGGCATGCAGCTTCTTCTGAACTTCTGAGTATCTAATTCGATTCCAGGATGAAGATCCTAGGCGTTGACAGTCTATGCCTTGTTTTTTATTTCCGAATGTGGTCCCGGAATAGAAAGTTCGTGTTCTTTTGTTGCAGGAGAAAAATCAAAATGAGTAATATTTTCTTTCTCTTGAAGAGAAACAAAAGCCGGGGCTTTCCAATTTGAACAATGACTGTCTTCATCTCCCACATTGTCGTAATTTGCACTATCGATTTTTATTCGGAGCGATCTAAATAAATAAAGAAAGTCTTCTTCCTTCTCCTGTTCTGATCTTTTGGTAACACTTTTTAAAATCATTTCTAAAATTTCTTGTCTTTTGTCAAATTTTTATTTAAAGGCATTTATTCTTGCTGAAGCCTTTAGTTAAATGATCGTCAGATTCTTATTCTGATTTTTCACCTGGTAGTTGTTTTGAGCCCTCCAATCGAGTTAGCAAAAGAGGCTTTAAATCGTTTATTGACTGAAAAACTAACTGGTGTTGAATATACGAACCTCTTATTTAAAAAGCCAACGACGTTGGTCTAAAGACAAGACCTCTGCAGAAGTTCCATTTCAGCATTATTTTCTTCATATCACGGTAAGGTTTTTCCATAAGACTCGATGTCTCTGGATTAATTACTCTAGCAATGCCGACTGTAAGAAGAGCAAAACGTACTTTATTTAAAACTTGAGGATCAATGTCATCCTCCCGATTTGAAATAATGACTTTCTAGTCTTTCTATCCATCAGACAAACTTTCTTCGGCGGGCTGTTTTAGTCTTTTGAGGACCCCATTTTCGTCCTCTTCTTCATCTTGACCATACACATTTCCCAAGGTCATCATTTTGGAGTTAATTGCCACCTGAAAGACAAGGTCACCTTTAGAAAATTGCTATGGTTATAATATACAGAGAATCAGGATGCATCGGCTGAGAAATCTGACCGTAATTTATTAATAATTAATAAATATGTTTGACAATTTAAGCATTAACGGCTGAACATTTGGGCTGTAATGGCTGAAAATCCGGGTCGTTGCGGCTGAAACTCTGGGCCGTTTACGGCTAAAAGATTGGGCCGTTACAGCTAAAAATAACAAAAGCTAAATATACATTTTGTGTGACTGTATGAAGAAAGTGGAAAGGAAGTCACGGAATTTTAAACAAACGCGGAGTTGTTAAATATAGTAGTAATTATGTCTGGTAATCTTGAATACATACCTAGTGGATCAGAAATGGTAGGACGTGATCATCCAAAAGTGTTATATGGGGATGCAAGTCAACAAACAACGCAGAAGGGTAAAATAAATCCTATACTCAACAAGCAAGGAAGAACTTTGTCTAGCCACACAAATAAAACTTTTCTCATCTGGTCATAGGGATGCCACTGCTGTGATACGAAAATATCATACTCTCCTAAAAGTGCAAAACGAATAAAAAAGTCAGATTTAAAGCCAGACCTCAAATCGTCAATCTATTCAGCTGATGAAGCCGTGGCACTATTTATGAGTTAAAAATTGACGCGAAGTCAGTATGTTAATTTGAGAGAATCTACTAAGCAAAAAAAATTGAAAATATATGTATTCTTCTTATTACAAATTGTTAGAAGCAAAGAAAAAATATTTTTCTTTTTCAAAAATTGTTGTTACAGAAGCATTTGCTGAGATTCCATTACAGTCTTTATTAAATCACACTGTAACAAATGAAGATCTGTTTAATATTTTACTCTTTTTTTTTTATCAGATCCTCTCATTTCAAATATACGCGCATTTTATCACCTAGGCAAACAGGTACAAACAACAAATATGGTATATCACTATCAGAATCTCCAGAAATTCTGATATCGAATCTGAATGAAACATATGTATGTGCTATGTCCTTAAGTTTCTGTTTAATGTTTATAGTTACATTAAAATGTACTGCGAAAATAAAGATTATCCGCAACACATTCTATTTGCATCTCCAAGCATTACCTATCATCTGGGTGGGCCTGGTAGAGGTGTAGCTAGTACACAAGACCGAAATCTATTAGATCGCTCTTTCCTGGGGATGGCCGTGCCCACCCGCATCTCCATTTAGCTACGCCAATGTTTCCAAGATGGCACGTTAAACGCGTTAAAGTAGAAATCACACTTGCAGAGGGATTGAGTTGGAAAAATGGGGCGCGATACACAACTTCATCAAAGAAATAGAGCAAAAAGGCGATACTACAGAGCAAGAGAGACAGACAATTAGAGTGCGCCTATTCTTAATGGTATACTGACTAGGTGATTCCGACGATAGTCGGGCAGATATAGAGGTTGTTTTTAGTGGGTAGTACTGCTAATAGAGATGCCACACTACTCTACAAGAACATAGGGGGGTAAGCGTAAAAGTATTAGATATATTAGGTATCACATTCTGTTTAATTGTTGGTGTATGTATTTACTAGTTAAAAAGTAAGATACGTTAATTTAGTCAGGTATACTAGGCACCTGACATGTACCGAATCAAATAAGGTTGTTTTTAGTATATGTATTTTTGGAAAGCTGATTAGACTAATGTAAACACCCAGAGAAATGTAGTTTTCTTATAAAAATCTTGATGCAACTTGACAATGTCGAAAAATAAAATAATTATGATTTCAACAATTTTATATAAGTATTTGTTTACAACGCATTTAATCCAAAAAATACCCTTACAGGTATATCACAAACCTTTTTTTTTCTGTAAAATTCTTGGAAGTTTTCTCGCCTTTGATAATGAAACCAAGTTAAACTAATGCCCACGTATATACCTTCTTATCGTATGTTTGTTTTTGATTTACAACAACCTGTCTCATCTAGAACATAAAATCTGCTGAGATAAAATATAAGTGTGTCGGCATGTTTCAAAACAAGGTTTACTTAAAATTATCTAGATATGACTTATCCTTTTATTCGCTAGATATCATTTTTGACAAACTAAAAAAATATATGCTCAAAATTATTATTTTATATACCTTTTTGGTTCTCATGATAAAATATATTATTATAGTTGGTACATTGGCGAAACATGACTTGAATATAAGGAAAGTATAGGAGAGTTTTCGACGATTTTTACGTTTTGAGGTCCCCTGAATCCGTTTTGACTATTTTCGCGATGATGTCTATGTCTATGTGTGTGTGTGTGTGTGTGTGTGTGTGTGTGTGTGTGTGTGTGTGTGTGTGTGTGTGTGTGTGTGTGTGTGTGTGTGTGTGTGTGTGTGTGTGTGTGTGTGTGTGTGTGTGTGTGTGTGTGTGTGTGTGTGTGTGTGTGTGTGTGTGTGTGTGTGTGTGTGTGTGTGTGTGTGTGTGTGTGTGTGTGTGTGTGTGTGTGTGTGTGTGTGTGTGTGTGTGTGTGTGTGTGTGTGTGTGTGTGTGTGTGTGTGTGTGTGTGTGTGTGTGTGTGTGTGTGTGTGTGTGTGTGTGTGTGTGTGTGTGTGTGTGTGTGTGTGTGTGTGTGTGTGTGTGTGTGTGTGTGTGTGTGTGTGTGTGTGTGTGTGTGTGTGTGTGTGTGTGTGTGTGTGTGTGTGTGTGTGTGTGTGTGTGTGTGTGTGTGTGTGTGTGTGTGTGTGTGTGTGTGTGTGTGTGTGTGTGTGTGTGTGTGTGTGTGTGTGTGTGTGTGTGTGTGTGTGTGTGTGTGTGTGTGTGTGTGTGTGTGTGTGTGTGTGTGTGTGTGTGTGTGTGTGTGTGTGTGTGTGTGTGTGTGTGTGTGTGTGTGTGTGTGTGTGTGTGTGTGTGTGTGTGTGTGTGTGTGTGTGTGTGTGTGTGTGTGTGTGTGTGTGTGTGTGTGTGTGTGTGTGTGTGTGTGTGTGTGTGTGTGTGTGTGTGTGTGTGTGTGTGTGTGTGTGTGTGTGTGTGTGTGTGTGTGTGTGTGTGTGTGTGTGTGTGTGTGTGTGTGTGTGTGTGTGTGTGTGTGTGTGTGTGTGTGTGTGTGTGTGTGTGTGTGTGTGTGTGTGTGTGTGTGTGTGTGGGTGTGTGTGTGTGTGTGTGTGTGCGTGTGCGTGTGCGTGTGCGTGTGCGTGTGCGTGTGCGTGTGCGTGTGCGTGTGCGCGCGCGTGTGTGTGTGTGTGTGTGTCGCATAACTCATGAACCCATACACATAAAAAGACCAAATTTTATACTTAAGCTTTGTTCCAGCTTCCAATGACTGATTTGATTTTGAGTCGGAACATCTGGGGGGCACTTTATGAATGGTCATTTTTATAGTTTATGGAATATATCTGTTATTTAAGTTTGGAGAAGAAAATTCTTCAAATAAAAGTTACTTCTTATATTATTATCTATAATTTTTTTATTTATACAAAATTTTCCTAAAATGGTCCGTATTCGAGAAATTTGACAAAATGTAAAAAAAATAATTTTTTATGAAAATTGTTTAAACAAAAGTTGTTTGCAATATAATTCTCTATAATTTTTATCCTATACATAATTTCTCTAAAATGAACCGTATTCGAGATATTTGAGAAAATGTGTAAATTTCGAAATTTGAAGAAAACTCAAAAACGGATAAAGAAAAAAAAATTAAATTTTAAACTTAAGTTTTTTTTCGGCCTGACGTGAAATGATTAGATTTTGGACAAAGTCGGAACATCTGGGGGGGTACTTTATGGGAGGCCGTTTTTATATTTTATGGAATATATCTGTTATTTATATTTGGAGAAAAAAATTGTTCATATAAAAGTAACTTTTAATATTATTATCTATAATTTCTGCTTAATGTCAAAATTTCCTGAAATGGTCCGTATTCGAGAAATTTGACAAAATGTGCAAAATTCTGATTTTTTCGAAAATTGTTGAACTAAAAGTTGTTTGCGATATCGATCTCTATAATTTTTGTTTACACATGATTTTTCTAAAATGGACCGTAATGGAAAAATTGTAGGAAATTTAAATTTTTCAGTATTTTCGTTTTCAATGAATATCTATAGAAAAATGTTTCGAGGTATGTATGTGGACAATGTATATATTTAGTTTATCCTCTAAATATTTATAGAGATGCTGCAATAGGTTGTACAAAATAACCGGAAAAAGCCTATAATAACTAGATAGGAAAGTCATGTGTTGGACACATCAGATTTTTTGGAAACATAAAGTCTTTTAGATGGCTAGGAAACTAAAGTCAAAAGGATTTGTTTTTCTTAAAATGACTTTAAACTGACTAGTAATTTTGTGGTAAAACTCGTAAATTTAGAGTGTTGCTGATCTATTTGGCTAGTACCACCAGTTAATGTTTTTATAGTAAATTTTATTTGGGGGAAAGGCAACATCTATACAGAGAGAGTGTAATTTGGAATACATTTAATAGTTTAAATACTAATGTTTTTATTTTTAAATGCTTGTACCCGTCGCGTCGATCAGTATTTCCAATCTCGATTATTTACATACAATAATAATGTATACAAGGGTCCCAATTTAAAGATATGACGTCATCGTTGATTTTGTTAAATGGCAAAACTGTCATTTTGATGGCTATTTCTATAGGGTTTGTAAAGTTGAACATAACTGCCAAATATCAAATTTTTATTCCTTACCAGTTACAAGAAAAATCAAATTGAGACTTGGCCAACTTGTATAGTATATTATCATTTTATAAAAAAAACCAGTTATATAGGTATTAAACAAAAAGATGGTATTGCTGTGTTTTTTATCAAGTCAACAAGTGTTTTGAAGTTTAAAAATACATATCGATTATTAATAAAGTCAGTTTTATATGGTTTATTTAACTGAAAATCTCAAGATTGGAATTTTACAAATGATTGGAGATGAAGATAGAGCAAGAACACAAGTGGAAGTAACGCATTTATTCAGAGAAAAATATCTAGACCTGCCAACCATATCGCAAAGTACTGTAAGTAAAATAAAGACAATTTAAGGAAAACGGGCATGTAAGAAAAACAAGTAGGCTAGATTGGTTGAAGATGACGCATCTAAAGGAAATGTTTGATATTAACCAGATAAACTGAAAAAATAAGTTCGCCTTAATACCAAGTAAACTTTGACATGTTTACAAACTCCTTTTTGATATTGTCAGAAAATAAATTTGTTTGCCAGTATAAAAATATATTATTTAAAAAAAATGTCAATGTGTCATCTTTGCCGCTTGCTTGGTAAAGTTGCCGCAAGCGATAAGCTAAGATGACGTAAATATTTTAGGTTTATTTGGACCCTCCCATTTATTAAATATTTAATGTATTAATTTAAACCTCTAGGTTCTTATAATCTTTATTAAAAAGATTAAAAACTGAAACATTGCTCGTTCAGAAATAGCTAAAACGAAAGTAGTGCAACAGTTAAAAAACAAACCAAACAACTAAACAAACAGTTAACCAAATAGTTTTAGGAGTATCTAAAACGAAAGTAGTGAAACAGTTAAATAAACAATTAAACAAACAGTTAAATAAACAATTAAACAAACAGTTAAACAAACAGTTAACCAAACGGTTATTTACAAAAATAATTTACAAAAATCACACTCATAATTTGTGGGTCCAACGGCTCCACTACACTCTTTGTGTGCCCATTTTCCGCAAATTATACACCTATACCAAATTTCATTCCCTTTTCCGAACTCACAGCTAATGGTACAAATATCTGTTTCAGAAGATCCTGGAAGGTGGTCACAAAGTAGCTTTTCATCTATATCATCTGCTTCACTGCTATCACTCTCAAATACTCTTTTCTTCACCTTCATTATTGGTGTCTGAATCTGATTTTTTTATCTTTGGTGCCTGAATCTGCTTTTTTGTTACTTTTCTACTTTATCTTCAAGAATTTTTTTCATAGTGGTAGATTTTAGTATTGTAGAGTGTTGTTTTGTGGAAGATTTCCTCTTTTTCTTATTTGTTGCAGTGGGCGCAGATGATAGAGTAGAAATACTTACATATGCCTTACAATTTAATTGCAGACTAGTTTGCTGCTCATTCTTGGATGTTGATGGTTGATAGCTTGAATTAGGATCAGACTTCGGTAGGAGGGGAAGATTTGAAGAACTGGCGATAATTGTCAACGTTGATGGTAGGACTTTTGGCTCTTCTTGTTCAGTTAAGTTATTAATTATGTGTTCTCCTTATCGCGTTCCTCTTCAATATTCTGCGATGCAATAAAATCATCCTCGGTTAATTTTTCATTATTTAGAGGAAACATTCCAGTTGCCTCAAATCTGGACACACCTTGTTCTATATTTGCCACTTGTTGGTATGCAGAGTTGAATATTTCTGCTAAATCATACTGCCTTAGTTTGTATTGACCAGAATCAGAGTTAATTCTAGATCTTATTAAATCTTCTTTTGTTGATCTAACTTTGTTTTGAAAGTGCTGTATCCATTTATAAAATATCTCCTCATTACTCCAACCGTTTTTTGTGCAAGAGTAGAGTGTACCTACTGGGCCATTTCTTTCCAATAACGGGGCCATCCTTTTTCTAGGATAAACAAATAGGGGAGGAATAAATGATCCAGTGGCTCTTACAGCACAAATTACTGTGACATTTTTGCCACGTTCTGTTGATGCAATCACGCCAAACTATTTTATACCTTTGGGGCCCAAACGTTTACAGGTTTCTTTTGGAACAATAAAAATTCCTGTTTCATCTACATTATATATCCTATCTGAAAGAAAATTGTATTTGTCCATGACAGTTGTTACATTTCTAAAGTACTGATCTACTTCGGTTTTATTAAATGCTATTAGACGATTTACACTGGTCGATTCAGGTTTTCTTAAGCTAATTCCAGGATTTCTTCTCATGAAGTTTATATATCAATCATTACCTGCCATTTGATTATTGGGGTTATAATTATATTTTAAATTATTAGCTTCGGCATATTTATAAACAAGTCGACACAACTCATCTTTAGTAACTCCAAAAAATAATTCAGCCATGTTTATAAATATTGGAAAATTTCATTTTCTTGAAGTGAAGTAGAAATTGGTGCTCTACCTAGTGAAAGTGATTTTTGTTGCCTTAAATTGTTTTTAGTTTTTAGATGACGTCTAAGAGTGGCTTCTGGCACTTCATATAGTGCCTCGCTACTTCGCAAATTTTCCTATTTTCTCTCATAACCGTGGTAACGGCCACTTCTAGTCTATCTCTATTAATTTCTCTTTTTTATTTACCCATCTACAAGAAATACAAAGTGAAAGAATTATATTTTAGATTATTTTTATGAATCCACGGGCAAGAAGACGAGCGTCATCTTAATATAGGATGATCGTCTTAACCTATTTGGAATCTAGTAAAAATTTTATAGTTTACAGACATTTCCGATCACATATCTAAACAAAATGTGTAATAAAATATCACAATTAGAGGTACATTATTTATGTATGTAATTACAAATACGAATAGAAATAACTTACCTTCTTTGTAGCAGGTCACAAATATTACATCAAAACACACGTGTTTACTCTTTGGCTTCTCGTTAGGTACTAACCACAGACCTTTTATATATTGTTTATAGACAGTACACTCAATGTATAATTTTCGTAGCTAATTTCAGCGCCCTCACAGTGGTGGGGGTTTAAACTAAACGATGGCGGCAATTTTTGAATGTCTGAATAATTTTTTGGAAGCACGCTTTGAACGTGGTTATTATGTGTACCATTAAAGTTGAGATTTGATTACAATAAGCAAACAAATCGTAACTATAATGGTTTAATCATGTTTTGGTGCTACATTTTTTTATGAAATGAAACCATTTATTATATTTATAACGATTTATTTATAAAATGTAAATTTCGGGTATTATTTTAACTAAAACTAAAAATAGCTAAAAATAAGGCAATAATAATAGGTACATGCAAAATATTAAGATAAAATAAAAAAGATTCAAGTGTTTTCATGTTTTTAGTTTTATCTGGTTTTTCTTATTTCTTATATTATAGGTATCTTGTGTTAGCAAGAAGACGTATTTTACCATTAAAATAATGTAACAACCTGGAACCTGGAACACTTACACTTTACAATCATGACTGAAAGTTTATCCATTATCTCAAATGTAATGTGGTCACATTAATCCTTCCTCCATGTGGTCACTGACCAATGTAAGTCGAAACTAATCGCGACACTGCCTATTAAATAAACTTTATGCTGTGGTATTAATTTTGTGCTTTATTTCCATTTCACTATTGACTTTCTGTTTTATTTCCATTTTATTATTTAACAATCAGTTCAGAAACAAACAAATCACTCACAAAATTCATAAAAATAATAAAGAAATAAGAAATATTTTTTGTGGTTTTGTAGGTATCAAGTACACAAAGTAGGCAGTGTTGTCACGGTCAAATGGTGATAATTCTCATCACTTACCCCAAACGCCTGAAGTCACCAATAAATGCAATAGTGACGATGAAAATATTTTAAAACATGACTTTTCAGCAATAGTACATACTGCTAAATGAAAAACGGCAAAAACGCTATAATCTTGCATTAATAAATTATAATTCAATTCATAAAAGTTCATTAGTTAATTAAGAATACCCAAAAATCGGGTAAAATTATTGCTATTGGCAACGCTGCACAAGCGTGTCCTATAAACGATGACGGTGGCGACCTCACGACGGCGGGGGTATGAAACTTAACACGCATTGACCTTGATGGTAAGAGTGGATACACTGTGGTACTAACCTTAAAAATGGTGCACGCGCCAATTGGCAATAACGGTTGGTGGTGAAATGAGGTCGGGAAACTTAAATTTGAAATTTCTACTACTACAGTTAACGAGTATTAGAGGTACGTCATCTTACCAACTGCGTCATCTTCAACCAGTCTCCACTACTCATTAAAAAATCCTAATAAATCTACCAGGACGATATCTAATTATGTTGAAATTAGCCAGTCCTCAGAAGCACGAATTCTTAAAGCACATAAACTGCATCCTTACACACTTACAATCCTTCAGGAATTACTAGAAGATGATCCTGATAGAAGACTGTAGTTTTGTGAACAAATTATGGGTCAACTAGACACGAATAAAATTTTAGTAGAGAACATTGTGTTTTCTGATGAATCTACGTTTATGTAAAATGGTGAGGTAAATCCACAAAATTGTCGATATTGGGCGGATAAGAATCCACGCTGGATGAGGGAAGGCCATACTCAACGCCCAGAAAAAGTAAATGTTTGGGCAGGGATTGTAGGATTGTGTTATTTTTTGTCATTTAGTTTTCGTCATCATGCAGTTACAACAGAATTAGTTTTGGCGTCATTTTGTCACTGTAACGAAGAAAACGGTGAAAAATATATTTTTTATTTTTACTATTTTCAATTTCTACTTTATTTCTATCTAATAAATTCGTCGTAGTAAATGGTCCAATAAACTTATTATTTTATTTTTTTTTATAAACTATTTGATTAACCTTAAATTCTACATTTTCATTACCATTTACAATATGTTAACTAATTGATTTTTCTTTATCTTTAACTAAAAATTCATTAACCTCATTATATACATGTCCTAGCTTATCCTTATGATTTTGTACATAACATGAAAATATCTCTTTAGGTATAAATATTTCTTCATCATCATCATTAGGGTACAACTCTTTTAGGATTCGTAAGTGTTCGATCAATGTTGAATGGAATCGTTCTATAATTCCATTCGACTCATGGTGACCGGCTGTAGTAAAATGCGTTTTTATTTTATGTAAATTTAGGAGTTCACGAACTGTATCATTTTTAAACTTTGTACTACTGTCTAGGACAATTGTTTTAGGGTAAGTATACTGAAACTTGCAAAATATTTTGTTAAACCGTCACAAATGTTTATTGCTGTTTTACCCGGAATAGGGATAGACTGAGCAAATTTTGAAAAAGGTTCAATTATTGTTACATAAATCTTTTTATTATAGTGAAAAATGTCTATATATGTTTCAAATGGTTTTAAGAGTGTTTCAGTTACATTTAATGCTAAGTAGGGATTTTTTGAGCAAATTTAGTTACTGAAGATCAAGATAAAATAGTAAGTAGTAAAAAAGAAAATCCTTTAAAAGAAACAAACAAGCTAATCACCATTGATAAACATTTACAAGTTCCAAAGCCAATAGAAAAAACCAAGAGAGCAAAAGCTGGACCTTCGACAAGTGCAATTTCATCAAAAGCTTGGAGAGATTATTAAATTGACAAATATAACGAAAAATTAGAGAAAGAAAACATAAAAAAACGAAAAAGAGAAGAAATAGAGAAACGGAAATTGGAAAAAGTGACAAAAAAAAGAAGCTAAAAGCCAAAGATAAAAATTAGAAACCAAAGAACTTAATTAAAAAAAAGTTAACTGTGCAATTTGCATAGATGTACTAGAAAGGCGATGCCGAAGAAGAAGGGAAAAAGAATGTTGGTTGTATATGTGCCCAAGGTGGTTACACCTAAATTGCACTCAAATGGCAGGCGAGACATACGATTCTGTGACTGATAAAGAATTTTACTGTGATTTTTGCGGTGAATCAGATAATAGTTCTTAATGATAAATGTTTTTTTTATTATACCTGAATTTTATGTTTTGTTTTTTTATTGATTTTATTGGATTTCATAAACTTTTTATCTTTGGTGTATCAGAACGTAGTTCTTTATGATAAGTGTTTGACCAGAATTTCATGTTTTTGTTCTTTCTTTTTAAATATTTTGTTTGTTTCAGTGAACTTTTATTTTTTTCCTATATTTTCTAATTAAATTATTTAAAATAAAATTTTTTATTG